ACCAGGGGCTCTGTAAACCTATGGAGAGTAAAAATCAGGGGCATGCATGGTGACATTTCCGTGCTGGAAACATACTGCTCTGAGGCCTATATTCTCTTTTCGGTTGAGGTTTCCTCGCCCTGTATCATAATCTGACATGTTGGCGAAAATCTTGGATTCTCCTGGAATCCCTTTGCTCTGCAACAATGACTGTCCATGTGTCTGTCTGTCTGTCTGTCTGTCTGTCCGTGTGTGTGTGTGTGAGTGAGTGAGAGAGAGAAAGAGAGAGAGAGAGTTTACTACAAGAATCTGGAAGCTGAGTCATGGCAACAGCCAGATAATTTCACCTAGATGACTAAGAATCTTCACAGATATTTTACTAGAAGAAATTTCCTCAGGGACATATTATAATTTCTCATAGTAAACTCTTTGCCCAGAAAAATGAGGCACTGCATAATTGTTCTCCTCCTCACACTGGCAAGAACACCATTGTGCACAACATTTCTGCAAAACTTGTGCAATGACAAAAAAAAAATGTGTACTTGTGAGAGTAAACTGAATTACTCCAAACTAGGATTGCTTGGTCTAAAAATTTGAAGCAGTGGATGGGTTGTTTGTGTCTTTCATAACAACCAGCCAATCCTTCTGGGTTTAATGTAGAGGCACTTTACTTCTCAAAATGAAAGGGTGACAGCAACATTTGGAACAAATTACAAAGACCTTCTGGGGGGCAGGAAGGGACATTTTTGTCCTTGCTCTCGGTTGGAAGCCAGAGTATCTTGTGTGGAGGTGTCTTGCTGTGTTGAGACTGCCTACTTGTAGTGAGAATGAGGAATTTAGCAGTTTTGCATCTCTGGTGGGCAAGAGGTAGCCTTTCTGTTCGAAATGCCTAGGGAGTGTGTTGTGTCAAGTCATCTCCAACATATGAATAAATTCTCTCCAAAATTTCCTGATCTCCACAGCCCTGATCAGCTCATCTAAACTCAAGCCTGTGGCTTCCTTTAGGGAATCAATCCATCTTGTAATAGTTCTTCCTCTTTTCCTACTGATACCTTTCCCAGTATTACTGTTCTCCCCCCCCCCCCCCGAGAATCCTGCCTTCTCATGATGCATCCAAGGTAGGGTAGCCTCAGTTTCAACATTTTTGCCTCCAGAGAGAGTTCAGGCTTATCTAGGACCCACTTGTTTGTCTTTCTGTTTGTCCAGGGTATCCAGAAAGGGAATGTGGCCCTATTTGAACCACATGACATGGATTTCTGGCATGATTTGGTTTAAAATGAAAACACAGGATTGTGTTTTTACTTTCGCTGTCCAGTCTTCAAAATAAATTCCAAAGTGGTGGTGGTAGTATAGTGGTGATTCATGACAGGTTTGGGGTTCGATCTGAAGGTGCCCTGCAACAGGGTTCTCTGATGGCACAACTTCACCATCAGATTCCCCCCACCCCCGAAAACCTAAACACAGATATTCAGGCTGTGTGTTTGCTTTAGTATCTTTTGCCCTGAAGTCAGCAGGTCCTGCAGACATTCAGTAGTGATGAAGGCAAAGAAGAAGAGGTTCTGGCTAAAAAGTTTGTGTTTGAATATAATTAGGCACTCTGACTTTAGAAGGGAAACCAAGTTCTTCCTGTAAGAAAATCTAATTTTTCTTACATGTTAGTAAATACAGTGGTGCCTCGCTTAACGATGATAATCTGTTCCAAGAAAATCGCTGTTAAGCAAAAACATCGTAAAGTGAAATTAAAAAGCCCATTGAAACGCATTGAAAACCGTCCAGCGAACATCCTCCATACGGTAGCCATTTTCGGTGCCTGTATAGCGAGGAATCTGTCCCTAAGCACAGTGGGGAGCCATTTTAAGCACCCAGCGGCCATTTTGAAAACCCAACAATCAGCTGTTTTTGATCATCGTAAAGCGAAAATCTTTTCCTGAAGCAGGGAACCGATCATTGCTAAGTGAAATTCCCCATTTACACCATCGTTTTGCAATCGTAATTGCGATTGCAAAAACATTGTCGTAAAGCGGATTCGTTGTAATGCGGGGCAATCATTAAGCGGAGCATGACTGTATATAGAAAACCAATTTCCCCCCCATAATTTTTCCAAATGTACCTTTATCAACTTCCAACCGTACTTTTTTTCCTGAGGTACCTATTTGAACGGTAATGGAAAACCAATTTTCCCCCATAATTTCTCCAAATGTACCTTTATCAACTTCCATCCGCTCAGTTTTTTCCTGAGGTACCTATTTGAACGGTAAAAAAAAAAACCAAACCCTTCCCCGCTCTGTTATGCTACTAAAAGTGTCCAAAGTATATGGATTACGTTTAACCGATCTGTCCACTGTTGAAATGAACTGATGGTGCATTTCCTAAGCCGCCCCACAGTGAATTTATGTCTGTATAAATCACAGAGCCCTTTAGCGGAATATGTGTATGTCAAACACTAAGGATGTGCCTCCCCCTCATATGAGCCTGCCCCTGCATATAAAATCCTCTTCTCACATACTTCCCTTTCTCATATTTACCCTTTCAAAAATTTACAGTGTATTTTCATATGTGCATATATTTAAAACCATCATGTGGCTAGTTCTTAGGATTACGTCTCGAGCCGGTTCTCGCTGTTCAATCCGCTATAACAAACAATCCTGATGATATACTGGGGATATATTTTGTAATTATAATGTGGCTTCAAACTTCCCCTGATTGACATGCGGTGTATTTAAACAGGGATGATCAAAAATTGCGTTCACAGCACTGTCCTTGTCTTCATTTCGATGGCACAAAAGCCGTCCTCGGTGGGTAGCGAGGGTGAGCCAGGCTGACAGCTGGGCATAGATGTGATTCAGTGGCATCAGGGGGGGGAAATCCTCCTTTTTCTCTCCCCCCCCCCGACCTTCCCTGTATGTGTATGTGTGTGTCTGGTCAAAATCAAAGATGATTCAGTTTGGAGAAAGATGTGCCTTGTGGAAATAAATAAGAGAGGGCACGCGGTTCTCTGTCAGCTGGCTGTCCTAAATCAATAACACCGGCGGTCCATCTTCTTGGTCCATTCAAGTCCTTATTTATTCTCTTGTAAATTATAAGAACACCTGCCTAGCAGCCCAGTCCCATAATAAGAGCTCTTGTTGTGAGGTGTCCCGGATAGAGAATAATCCAGGATAGTTCTGCCTTCTCTTTCCCGGTGCTTCCCTGTCTGTGGAAAGTCCGAGGATGTTAATATCCATTGCCTTCAGATTGTATCAATTTGCATCCTTCACGGCACTGAGAGCAGAAACACCTGGACTCAACATCCTGCGTTTTCTTTCACCGGTAAGAGATTATAGAACAAAAACAACAATGAGCACGCATTGGCATTTTTGTAGTCTTCTGGCACTTCTAATGGTGGTGCATGTGTGTGCGTGGAGAAACAACACACGATGCACACAAAGTGCTCTACGAACACTGCAGGAGGAAGAAAGGAGGCCTTTCAAACAATCATTCCCTTTGTTTATAGAGTAGGTGACATATTTATTTCAGCCACTTCACTCCCCCTCTTCGCCTCTCACTGCTTTCCTGAAGTCTTTCAACAAGGATAACCGCCAAACTTTGGAAAGATAACGCTTGCCTTCTGTAAAAACTGCACTCCCCAAGATTTTGAATTCAGGAGCTACACTAGAGGAGTGGATATTTTCCTGTGCGTCCTCCTGGCTATTGTTGTCTGTTCATTCTGAGGACAGTCAGGCTGCTCCCCAACAGCAAGAAAGAAGAGTTATAGCCTCCAGAAGCAGCCACAGGATCTTGAATTTAGCATGTGAGGCAGAGGATAGGATGATGCAGCTACCATGACACAAGTCACTTTGGTCTGGAGTTGGGGCGATGGAGTCAGTCAGAAAAAGAGAATATGTAGCAGTTATTTCAGAGCTGAGAGAGAGCTACTCTGATGTAATAGACAAGAGTGTAATAGATCAGGTGTGTTCAAGATGGAGTCACGGTCAATTGGCCAGTGTGGTAGGGAGGCACATCACAAGCATCAGAGGAACCCACAAAGAAAAAGATGACATTCATTTATTTAAAATAATTTTTTTCTAAAGCCTTGGTCCTTTTTGGGGGGATTCAGACAATGTACAATAAATATTCTGACCATTAAAAAAGAGTTTTGGAGCAGATTGATTCTCTGTTGCCTTGTGTTCCCTTTTAAAGAGTCTTCTCTTCTCATGAGATGGCCAAAGTATTGGAGCCTCAGCTTTATTATTTGTCCTTCCAGGGAGCACTCACGATTGATTTCCTTCAGAATGGGTAGGTTTGTTCTCCTTGCAGTCCAGGGGACTCTCAAGAATCTCCTCCAGCACCCCAATTAAAAAATAATAATTCTTTGGCTGTCAGCTTTCATTATGGTCCAGCTCTCACCTCCATATATCACTACAGGAAAAACCATCGCTTTGACTATGTGGACCTTTGTCAGCAAGGTGATGTCTCTGCTTTTAAAGATGCTGTCGAGGTTTGTCATCACTTTCCTCCCAAGAAGCAGGCATCTTTTAATTTCGTGGCTGCTGTCACCATCTGCAGTGATCATGGAGCCCAAGAAAGTAAAATCTGTCACTGTCTCCATATCTTCCCCTTCTGTTTGCCAGGAGGTGATGGGACCAGTGGCCATTATCTTAGTTTTTTTGATGTTGAGCTTCAGACAATTTTTTGCGCTCTCCTCTTTCACCCTCAATAAGAGGTTCTGTAATTCCTCCTTACTTTCTGCCATCAGAGTGTTATCATCTGCATATCTGAGGTTGTTGATATTTCTTCCTGCAATCTTAATTCCGTCTTGGAATTCCTCCAGTCCTTCCTTTCGTGTGATGTATTCTGCATATAAGTTAAATAAGTCAGGAGACAATATACAGCCTTGTCATACTCCTTTCCCAATTTTGAACCAATCAGTTGTTCCATATCCAGTTCTAAGTGTTGCTTCCTGTCGCACATATTGATTTATCAGGAGGTAGATAAGGTGGTCAGGCACTCCCATTTCAGGCACAGAGTCCATAGTCCAAGAAACAGTGATAAACACATATTTATTAGTCTGTACTAACCAGTCGCCTTCTTTTTGAAGAGGAAACGAAGACCGTCTAATCGTGTGGCAGTCTGCTGTCCTTCGGCTTCTGATTATGGTGAGGCAGTGAAGGGGGTGGAGGGGACGGCAGGGGTGGAGAAGCACGTTTCACATGGGTGTAGTGGATCCAAGCAGCAAGTCCTTCGATTTTATTGCAGGAGGGAGTGGTAAGAATGACTTGGAACGGGCCCTTCCACTTCTTGGCAAGCGGGGCATCCAAGAGAGACTTGGTATATACCCAATCTCCGGGTTCAAAGGGGTGGAGCGGCTGGTCGAGGGTCAGCAAATCCTTTTCCAGGAGCAGCTGTTGGTTGTCCTGTAAGAGTCGGGAGAGTCCAAGCAAATAGTTACGCAAATCTTCCCTCCCCCCACGCAATGGTGGTGCCATGTCATGTTTGCCAACGGAAGTAATGACAAAGGGTCTCCCATACATCGCTTCATAGGGACTGATGGCCAGTTTGCCCCATGGAAGGATGTGGATACGCAGTAGTGCTTGGGGAAGCAGGTTGAACAACCCTAGCTTAGTTTCTTGTGACAATTTATGCTAATAGGATTTCAAAGTTTGGTTAAGGGCGTTCCATTTGCCCGGAGGACTGGGGGTGGTGGGAAGCATGATCTTTCAAATCAATATCTCGAAATGCAGAAACCCACTTCTTGACAACATCAGCAATAAAGTGGGGGCCGTTATCAGAGGACTGTCCATCTCGGGGGACCCCATGGTGGTGAATAATGTCATTGAACAAGACCCGAATGACCTCCTCAGGCCATCCTATCAAGGTATCAACAAAAATCAAACAGTATTTATAACCCTGGCTAGGGATCAGTTAAGTGAAATCAGCTTGCCACCAGGCACTGGGCAAGTGGCCTTTGGGTTGAGACCCTATTGGGCTCTCACGAATTTCGGTGTGAGGGTTATTTCTACAGCAAACTTTGCAAGCCGAGGCCACGTCATGTGCCAAGGAAGCAAGTCCAGGACCGGAAGCCCAGGGGCTGATCCTCATGTCAAGCATGACCTGAGGGCTAGCATGAGTCCACCTGTGAAGTTCCCACATGAAGTTCCAAGCAAGATGTTTTGGGAGGACTAGTTAGCCATCAGCGGTGTAAAACCATCCATTTTCTCCCTTAGTGCCCTTGTTCTCAAGGATTTTACATTTTTCCTTCTTTGTATATCATGGAAGGGTAGGCAAGTCAATTGCCGGGGCCGGAAGAACAGCCAAAGCTGATTCAGGTCCCAAGCCCCCCTCCGCTGTTTGCCTAGCAACCTCATCCGCTCACCTGTTTCCTTCCCGAACCCTCAAATCTTCTTCCTTCCCATGCCTGTACCTCTTTTAAATGCTTGAATTCCTCTCCTTCCACTGTCCTCTACCCCCTATTCCTCCAAAGCTCCCCCAAAGGCACGCAACACTCCAAAGGCATAGTGGGGCTCTCTGTAGACATTAGATTTCTTACCGTGAGCCAACATTAAGGCTCGGGTCAAAACAACCAATTCAGCTTTTTGAGCTGAAGTATGCGGCGGCAAAGAGCATGCTTTAACCGTATCGGTGTCTGTGACCACTGCATACGCCGCTTTGCGGAGACCGTGTCTCACTATGCTACTGCCATCAACAAGAAATTTGAGATCGGGGAGGCTCAAAGGCGAGTCTTTAAGATGAGTTCTAAAATGTACTTTCATCTTTTCTCGGTATCATGATCACCCTTAGGTGATGAAGGACAAATCATCGGTTGAATGAGGGACTTCAGTGTGAGTATCAGATAAGTGAAGTGCGTTTGAGGCCTCTTGGTACCTGGTGTTTTTATGGTGATGATTTATAATAAAAGTTACATGCATAGTGTTTTAAATCCAGATCTGGTGTTCAGCCTCTTTTTATGGCGGCAAAGAGCATGCTTTAACCCTATCGGTGTCTGTGACCTCTGCATACGCCACTTTGCGGAGACCGTGTCTCACTATGCTACTGCCATCAACGGTGGTGATGATTTATAATAATATAACTTTTATAATAAAAGTTACATGCATAGTGTTTTAAATCCAGATCTGGTGTTCAGCCTCTTTTTATGAAAAGTTCCTGGGTGTCTCCTCTCTACCGGATCAGAGTAATATCCCAAGCTTGGTAACTACTTGATCTCATTCATTTGTCAGGAACCCAGCCCGTAAGACTTGACCCTTATCTTTGTGACAATCTGCTCCAGAGGATACCATGGGTCAGACCTATTCGGTAAGGCTTCTCCTCAGAAGCAAGCACCCTCTCAGTAGACATTCTGGGGAAGAGCCCAGGGTTGAGGGTTCAAGTCCCACCCATCCCTATGCCTGCCACGAGAAAGAGCCAGCTTTGGACAAGCTACAGGGCATCCCCAGAAGAAAGGAATGGGAACATACCTCTGATCCTTCATCACCCTTATCAGGGATTGGTGTAGGGCAGAATCAATCTGACTGCACATAATTAAAGCACATGGTCACAGAAAGCCGGTTCTAGAAGAAGTGATCCCTCAAGTGGCAAAAAAGATCTAATTGTGAAAGCATATTTCAAAAAAGGAGCATATGCATCATCAGGATTGTTTTTAGACTATAAATGATGGTTTCCTTTTCACGTTGAATTCCAGAGTCACAGCCAACAAAACAGACTGCAAAGTTGCTGGGGGAAGGGAATGGTATAAGAGCAGGACCGATCAGTTCTCTGAATGGGAATATTCGCTCTGAGTTTTATTTCACACCCCTTTAGCCCAGGAAGAAGGTCTAATCGTAAAAGCATGTTTCAAAAAAGGAGTGTATGCATCATCAGGATTATCTTTAGACTATAAATGATGGTTTCCTTTTCACGTTGAATTCCAGAGTCACAGCCAACAAAACAGACTGCAAAGTTGCTGGGGGAAGGGAATGGTATAAGAGCAGGACCGATCAGTTCTCTGAATGGGAATATTCGCTCTGAGTTTTATTTCACACCCCTTTAGCCCAGGAAGAATCTGGCTGGATAGCTCAATAAATTAGCTATCTGGCTGCAGAGTCAGAAATGGGGAGTTAAATTTAATTCCCCGTTCCCACTGTAAACTAGAAAACCTGGAAGGGGTAGCTATAATTCAGAATTGACTTGATGGCAGAAAGTTATTGATGATTAACTGAGAAGAGGGTCAGACAGAAGAACCCACTAGCTTTGGTCTGTTCTCGAAGTGAAATCCATAATATACCTGAGTCGGTAGCCCGTTCGTGTCTTTCCCTATATCCTGGGCCAGGGAGCAGGACATCCGAGGGACGACAGCCACTTTGTCCATGCCACACATCCTTTTAAGTTGGGCTTCCCCTTCATCTCCAGATAGCCAAGCTTCTCCTTGTCTTGCGCACCTGAAAGGCTCTGGGCGAGGCAGGATTGTTTTCTTAAATTTGCCTGATCTTGCAGGATGAGGCCGAGCCAAAACCTGGGGACATGATTGAATTTTCCCGGCCCGTTTACAAGCATTATGCCATCGCCGTTGACAAGGAACATGTGGTCCATCTGACAAGTAAGGGTTTCGCTATTTGAAATGGTGAGGAAGGCTGAGCAGGAAAGGAAACAGCCATGGGGGTGGCGGGTAGGGAGAATACATATAAATAAAGACTGGGTTTCTTCTTTCTTGAGGTGCGGAGACAAATGGTTCCTCCCAATATTCTTCATTTGTCAGTGGCCTCAAAGCAGTGGTGAAGCTTGAACGCCTTTCCCAAGTGGCAGGGATCTGCAAATACCAGATTAATAACAAGTATGATGAAAATTATAAGCCCAGGCCACTGAACAAGATTGTCCAAGATGCACTCTCCCTGGTTGGGCAGGAGATGGATTATAACCTGCTGAAGGAGAACTGTGAACATTTTGCCTCCAGCCTGCGCTATGGCATCCCGGAAAGTAAACAGGTTTGTAGATGTGGCTTAGGTACCTGGAGGTCTTTAGAAGCCAGGGGAGGGGATTGGGGCACCCTCACTCGACGTTTTGATAACAAACATCCCGTTCAAAAGGCGGCCCCAGTTTCCATTCCTTGTGTCTCCTTGCGTCCATCTAGACCAGGTATTCTGACCCTGACTGGTTAGAGATGCTCTCCAGGAAGGCTTCTTGCTACCTTGCCATGAGAACCTGCAACCTTTCATCCTCCCGGCAGAAACTCTACAGCTGAACCACTCTTCCTGGCTGAGTGCAAATCACTTAAACTCCATGCCATTTTCTAGAGCCAGAGGGGCAAAGCTAAGAGTGAAATTTGCCTGTGTCTGTCTGAATCTTGACTGCTGCCAGCGTAAAAACTCGGAAAAGGGTTGGGTAGGGTGTACAAAATCAAAAGTCATCAGATGTTCTACAATTCAGTGTCCACTGTATGCTTACATTCAACTGTTTCATACGCCTACCATTCAAATTCAGTTCACTTTGGCAAAAGGAAATTCTATCTCGGCTCTGCTTGGCATTCAAAGAAAAGGGCAATTGACTCACAGAATTGTAGAGCATTGTCTCGGGTTGTCTAGCTCAGCCTTCCACCAATATGATCAATAACCAGAAAGTCTTAAAATTGGACTGATATAAACGGTGTGAGTTTCTTCATCACTCAGAGATGCCTAGAATAACTGTGGATGTACTGGGTTGTGTAGGAACTAATTTTTATTAGACCTAGATATTGACTATTGTTCACGGCGTATTGGTATAGTGTTGTATTATTATATATTACAATTTTGTGGCTTAGCCTTCATTAAACTCATGTTCTCTCATCTTTGAATTGCTGCCCCATTTGTTTGATCTTTGATACAGATCACTTTTGGAAACAGTTGCAAATCACTATGTTGTGGGTGCTAGATTTTGCAAATGCAGAATCAATGGCCTTTGGGTTTTACTGTTTTCCATTCAGCGTCAGTCTCTTCTTTGGTGGGGGGAAGCAAAAGATATCAGAATGGGGACAGCCCACACTCCTTGCCCATGTGAGTCAAATGTCTTTTTCTTTTCTTTTTTGGCAGGCTAAGGATGTCATAATTGCTGGATCAACTATCCTAGGTGTTCTTGGAACTATTAGTTTGGCAGGTATTCTTGCAGCATTGATCAGCAAGGCAGTTGAGAAAGAGGAACCTGTAGATGAGTAACTCCTGGATCAAAACGGAAGAAGCCTGCTGGCCGGATTCTGCCCAGGAGGATCCTGCTGGCCTGACATCCTGTTTTCTCCCTTCCTGGGATTCTGGTGCCACTTTTCTGCTTTCCATGTATTTGACCATTTAGAATAAAATCTATGTGAACTCTTACTGGGAAGTTGGTTTTGTCTTTCTGAGTCGAGAACTAGTTTCCAGATCAAGAACCAGGATGGCCAGTTCAGGAGCCGACGTGAACGGCTCTCCGTGCATTCCAAAAAACTGAGTTTATGGGATGCTGAAAGGAAGTTGCGGAGAAAAAAGTGGTTCCAAAATATTCAGGGGTGGATCTGGGTGATTCGTACTTTAATTCTGTGTCTCTCACTGGCCAAAGAGCCACGCTGAAGAGAGGATTCATTCCAGCCGGGACCTTTTGCATGACGGAATGAGCAAAGAAAGGCTGAGACGTGCTTGCCGGGACAACAAGGCTCTGGCCGACCATGGAAGATGAGGGAACCGGACGGAGAGGCTACCAGGCCGAAAACTGAGACTCAGTGTTGTGCTGGAGGGAATTCCCTCCCCCTGACTTATCGAATGACCCAAATGAGGAGAATAGATGTGCACTTCAGAGAAGCATGACCTGAACCTGGTGCTTGGTGGTTTTGATTTAGCTATTGGCCTATGGAACTTGGATAAGTTCATGTTTTTGAATCAAAACTTTAGATAGTTGTTCTGGGTTTTTCGGGCTCCTTGGCCGTGTTCTGAAGGTTGTTCTTCCTAATGTTTCGCCAGTCTCTGTGGCCGGCATCTTCAGAGGACAGCACTCTGTGCTCTGTTGTAGTTGGCTTGGGAGTGGAGTATTTATGGCTGTGAGATAGGCTTTTGTCTTTTTCTGTAAATGGCTGATTAGTGTGTCTTGTTGTGGGTGCATTGTTGTGATAAGGAGGAGAGATTATCTGTCCCTGTGACTGATGGGGTGTCATTAGCTGGTCTTTTGTGTGTAGTGATCCCCGGTTCTTGTGGGTGGGTAGAGTTCATTGACCTTTTGCACGTAATATGTTTGATAGCTGGGAGCCAAGTTTTGTTCAGCTTCATACTTTCCTCTTTTTCGTTGAAACTGTGCTAGTGCTTGTGGATTTCAATGGCTTCCCTGTGCAGTCTGATGTAATGATTGCTGGTGTTGTCCAGTATTTCAGTACTTTGAAATAGAATTTCATGTCCAGTTTGTTTTAGAGCATGTTCAGCAACTGCAGATTTTCCCGGTTGTTTTAGTCTGCAGTGTCTCTCATGTTCTTTGATTCTGGTGTGGATGCTTCGTTTTGTGGTTCCAATATATACCTGGCCACAACTGCAAGGTATTCGGTATATTCCTGCGGTGGTGAGGGGGTCCCTTCTGTCCTTTGCTGACCGTAACATTTGTTGTAATTTTGTGATGGGCTTTCAACAAATGGACCAGGGTGGACAGGCTCAAAATGAATCTGGAGAAGACTGAGATTTTGTTCCTGGGGAAGCCTTCTGAAATGTTGTGGTGGTGGTGGTGGTGGTAAATCGTCCCTAGACTGGATGGCACTGCCCTCCCATTTAGGGATCAAGTTCGTAATTTGGGCATCCTTCTGAAACGGGCTTTTTCCTGGGATTCCCAGATTGCAGCCATGTCCAGTTTTAATCCATTGAGGCTTAAAGCCCAACTCCATCTCTACCTAAATGAGGGTTCCCTCAGGACATTTGTTTAGGCACTGATCATCTCCCGGATTGATTAATCCAATGCTCTGTACGTGGGGCTTCCCTTGAGACTGACCTGGAGACTACAGCAGGTCCAGAACATGGTGGCCGGACTGTGGCTGGTGTCAGCAAATTTGATCAAAGACTCGGGAGTATTAAACAGATAAACATCAATGAAAAGAAATAGGAAGAGATCTGGAAGTGGAGAAATGGTATACCATTTACATAGAATACATTCAGCTGGTTTGCTCCTCTCAGGATCTTTTTTTGGACAGCTGGACAAAAAGTTGTTTAAAAATGGGTCCTTCTCAAACATGGGGGCGATGGTGTGGGTCACTCTTCTTCATGAAGGTAAAGGTTCCCCTTGACATTTAGTCTAGTCGTGTCCGACTCTAGGGTGTGGTGCTCATCCCCGTTTCCAAGCCATAGAGCCAGCGTTTGTCCGTAGACAGTTTCTGTGGTCACATGGCCAGCATGACTAGGGAACGCCGTTTTACCTTCCCACTGAGGTGGTTCCTATTTATCTACTCGCATTTGCATGCTTTCGAACTGCTAGGTTGGCAGGAGCTGGGACTAGCAACGGGAGCTCACTCCGTCGCGTGGATTCGATCTTACGACTGCTGGTCTTCTGACTTTGCAGCCCAGAGGCTTTTGCGGTGTAACCCACAGCGCCACCACGTCCCAGCTTCTTCATGAAACAGCACCTAATTTAATATAAAAATCTCAAATTTGTTCTGTCAAATTTATGATGTCTCTCATAATCTTCAGCTAGTACGGCCTCTGGGAGTTGTAAGATTTGAGAGATATATGAGTTGTGGCCCCTCAGATGGTAAGAATTTGATCACATCACCCCAGCGCTGGCCAGCCTCCACTGGTTACCTGCTGTATCTCAGATCAGGTTCAAGTTCTGACACTCACGTATAAAACCCTTCACAGTTTGGGACCACATTTCCTGTCAGAGCGTCTTTTCCCAATGTCATCTGCCCAACCCACCAGATCTTCTCAAGCCAAGCTCCTCCATGTAGCCACCCCAAGAGAGGCCTGAAAGTCATCTACTAGAGGTAGAGCCTTTTCGGCGGTGGCACCTACATTATGGAATCAAGTCCTAGAGGAGAGATGCCAGGCTCCTTCCCTGTATTCATTGAGGAGGCGGTTAAAAACACTACTTTTCAGGGAGGCCTTTCACGTCAACCCTGGTTGAAGGCCTAGCCTCCAGTCTGCTCACTCCAAAAATTGGTTGCACCTTCGTTCGTTTTCAGATCATGTTTTTGCTGTTCATGATGTATTTAGTTCTGTGTAGTTTGCTTTAACTGTCTGTAAACTGCCCAGAATAGTGTTTTGACACTAATGGGGGCAGTATATAGATCAAAGTAATAAATAAATAGATGAACGAATAAACAAATGAATGAACAAATGAACCAACCAACCGATCAACCAAATTTTGTCAGCTGGGTATCATGCACTTACAACAATGTGCGATCATGAATTGCCAGGACAGTTTGTGTCTGTCTGTCTGTCTGTCTGTCTGTCTGTCTATCTATTTATTTATTTATTTATTTATTTATTTATTTATTTGTCACCTTTCTCCTGAAGGATCCAAGGCGACTTACAGTATCAAAAGAACCAAAGTGAAACAATAAATTATTACTCTCTTTAAAAAGCATTAAACAAACACCGCATCAAAACTCATAATAAGGGCACGATTAAAAGCCCAAGTAAAAACGCAGGATAAATTCGGCCAAACTTGTTATTCGTAGCTGAAGGAGCGGCGGAAGGTTTCGTAAACCTGCCACACCCAGGCCAGAAAACAGAGGTTAGAGACCGTCCATAATTAGAACTGAAAGTGTGTTAATGTGGCAGAGAGGCAATTCAGGCAGTTTGAAGACTTCAAAGGCATCCTGTGCTCAAGTCCAGAGGGCCAATAACCCAGGAGAGTATGTTAATCTGCATAATCCTGGAGGTGAAAGAATCATACGCAGTGACATTCAGACAATCTTGCATTTGTTAAAATTTCCTTCTTCCATTTACAAGGTATTCCGGGCTCAGTTGTTCTTCAAAGTGGCAAGTCATGTTTCAGAGAGAAGCAGTTAATTGTAGGCGCGGAATTTTACAGGTAAAGCTTGAAGTGATGGAGGCTGACCTATGGTCTGAACGCTCCCCTGTGAGAGTGTCTACATGACAACGTTAAAGCCTGCTGTCATGGGGTCCTGCGATTTGTGGTTTGGTGAGGAACCTAATAATTTTTCCTAGAGAACTACTAGTTCAGTTGTTTAGGGCAGTGGTCCCCAACCTTGGGCCCCCAGATGTTCTTGGACTACAACTCCCAGAAGCCTTCACCACTGCCTCCGCTTGCCAGGATTTCTGGGAGTTGAAGTCCAAGAACAATTGGAGGCCCAAGGTTGGGGACCACTGGTTTAGGGGAGCCCACAAAAGCTCTCAAGCAGAGGAGTACCTTCTTAAACAAGGGATCTGTTTGGAGGTTTTTGCAACCTCGCATGCTCAAATTTTGTCAGCTGGGTATCATGCACTTACAACAATATGCGATCATGAATTGCCAGGACAGTTTGTGTTAAACAAGGGATCTGTTTGGAGGTTTTTGCAACCTCGCATGCTCCCTCCAGTGGATGTGGCTTATGAGTTGTCATGCTGATCCCAACTTAGGGTGAGTCTAGTGGGATTTTTGAGATACATGAGATGCTTCAGTCATGGTCTACCATAGCTATGACCAAGTGAGTTTTCATGATTGAGGAGGGATTTGAACCCAGGTCTCCTGGGTTGTAGTCCGACACTTGTGTCCATGACACCACGCTTGCACAGAGAACAGCATGGGCAATTTTATGTAAGTCAATGTCCTCATGTGGTCACTCTACTTCTGACTTGGTCCTTGGTGGGGCCGGCCACTGCCTTCGTCCATTAGATTACTATATGTGACCCAGCGTTGACTGCAGGAAGGCCACAATACTTCCACAGTATCTAATTTACATGTGGCGAAAGGCATGGGATTCAGGCAATGTATTGTTTTAGGGTCCTTCATTCTCCACCCCTCCCAGGCCCCCTTTGCAATCCTTTCCATTCTGTTTGCTAACCAGCAAGTGCACCTCCTTCCCTCCCACTTTAATACTCCCAGCTAATTATCCTGAAATAAATCTCTTTCAAGTCTGCATGCCAGCAGTTGTGGGATATGAGCTGCTCTTTCAGCTCCTGGCCGCCTGTCAGTCAAACGGGGCCTCAGCTGCAGTTCCAAATGATGAGTATTAGCCTCCCGCTGGGATGATTCTCCCAATCTCCCCACTTCCAACAGCATCTCCCAGGGCTTCACCACGCTTCTACCTGTTAGCCTAATCTGGGATTTTCTTTTGCTAACGCCGTTAGTTTGAAAAGAGGAAGAGGATTCCTAGGAGAAAGGCACTCTGTTAACCTCTTCCTAATTGCCATTCAAGGCTGAAAGAGTG